TATTAGTAGTATCACATCTTCGCACTTAAACATAAAAATTCGTGCCATTAGCAATGTACAAAAATAACTTGAGCGTATCTTTAAAATTCTGATACGAAGTTCTGCGGCACTGGAGATTAAAAATGTTCTTTCTGTTAAATGTTGCCATGCTTGCTTTGCATCCTTGAGTTGTTATCAAAAATCGTTAAAGTTTACAAAATATGAAGTCAGTATAAAACAAATTCCAAATTAGGAATAGGCTACCAGATGGCCATAATGGTGAATGATACATTATCAAATGGGTGGATATAGGTACCGTGTGTTATCACAATGCGAGAAAAAATACATCCATTATTCAGATTCTCATTATTTAATTTCTTTTAAATACAACAGGGCGATAATGTTTGGTAGCAAACAATTTGAAAAGTGAATTTTCTTTTTCTCTTGGAACTGCAAAAAGGGAATTAACGCAAAATGCCAACCGAAATTAATAGTCCTTCTGGCAAAATGCCCTTTTTTTTTTTTTTTTTTGCTTATTAACCTACTCCCCCTTGGGCACTACACGGAAAGGGAGGGATGCCCAGTGGAGGGTCTTTTAAGGGAATACTGGCTGTATCCCACGTTACAATCGAGAAATTACACGAAACGTCCATGCAGCCAGCCTGTTCGCCGGGACTCGAACCCAAGACCGAACTACCAGTGTTCAGCGGCTTTTACTGCTCGGCCTTCGTGGGCCGAATTGCCCCTTTGGACTAAAAAATAAATATATAATTTTCGAGTTTGGAAAGGAGAGGAGAATAATTGTCTAACAATGGTGAAAGGAGTGCATGGGGTAGAAAAGGTTCAGAGCCACTGATCTAGTGAATGATGACACAAAACATCCCAGCCATACTCAATTAGTCTTTGTCTTACATTCGGGTGAAATGTGCGACTGAACATTGTTACGGAGGAAGTTAACACCTCAGCGATTAGCCAGTTCTGGGCAATTTGATCAAATTTCTGCTTTTAAAACTGCCATTTGGGAACTACATTTATTCAAATTTATTCTAAGATTTTATGTCAACCATTCATAGTATATAATGCCTTTGTAATCCCACCATACACAGTGTTACTTTTTGGGATGAGACTATATCAAGGTAGGAAAACATAGGAGCTTATAACTATGCTATATGCTGCAAGTATTTCTAGGGTTTGTATGGTTCTTAAAAGTACTTTAAAGTCCTTGGGTTTTTTTTTTTTTTTTGATATGATTTTTATGGATTATTATTATTAAATTTGAGAATTTCAAGATAAATTTGTATATAAAATTTTTAATCCAGATATTTGTAAATTCAACAATTTTTACAAACATAATAAAATTGATCAATATTAATAAAACTGATAATGTATTAAAATTGTGGCATAGAATAAAATATTTTAATTTTTCCATGTCATATTTTAAAATGACATTGCTTTCTATTTTGGCGACTTAGTAATATTTTGATTCTGAAAAATAAATGAGACTAAAAATGTTATGAAACAGTTTCTGAAGCACTTAGGTTATAATATGAATAGTGATTTTTTAATGGTCTGATAAATTACCAAATCTCTCAATGTTTAATTTTTAGACTTTGATACAGAATATGATTTTCATTAAAAAATTAAACTGACTGAATTAGAACTTAAATTGTGCAAATTTCATTCCTTCTCTCCTAGAGATTTTCTGCATAATTTTTCTTATTAAATTTTATTTCACTGAATTGTCTTAATCTGCTATAGACATCTATAGAACTTTATATGGAGATTCAAACAATAGTTAATCAATAAATATTTATACTTGTTTTATACCAATATATGGTACATTATTAAGTTCATCTACACAGTAGTATGTATATTAACTATTTAATTTTATTTTCAGTGTGTTTGAAAGTATTTTGATAAACTGAAACTTTCTTTCTTTACTTTGAATGTTCGCAAATAAGAAAATTACAAAATGAAATTAGATAAAGAGCATTAAATTTAGAATATCTAGTTAAATGATATATGTTTATGTCAGAATCATATTATAAATAATTGAAAGACCCGATTCATGTGTTATGAAGTAAATTTAAATTAATTTGAAATTCTTTTAAAATGCCACTGCACAGCTTTGAACCTCCTGGTTTTCCATATTTCAAGGTTGGCAGCTATGGTATATTTAAAAGTAAATTTCATAATTTTTTTTTTTTAAATTCCCAGTATAGGAAAAAGAATTTGAACATTGCACTATAATTTGAATTCTCATAGTTCTTTAGTGCCAGGTCCAAAATTTATGAGGGAGTAGATTGTGATTAAATTGGTGTTGCAGGGTAATGCTTTTGCTTGTATGAAACATCTTGAACGGGTACAAAATAGATCATTATGCTGCTATGTGGAAGCCCATCAGTGGCAGAGCAACGAGACCACAGAAGTATTGCGGTTTGTTTCTATTTGTTTCATAATTGAACTTGCTGTCTGCATGTATTTTTTTCCTTTCTCTCTCTCTCTCTTTTTTTTTTTTTTGTTTGTGTGTGTGTGTGTGTGTGTGAATACAAGCCAATTACTTTCAAACATCTGCAAAGACAGTATTAGAAGTTTTTTTTAAAAAAATATTTTTCAAGACACAGTGAAGTCCTTTAATTCTGTTTGAGAAAAATTTTCCCAGAATAATTCAAAAAGATACAACTGCATACCCTTTGTATTGTATTTTTAATAATCGAATGCCTTACTTATTTGAATGCCTAGAATATTACTTTTCATCCAAACTTAAATATGGCTAGTTCAAGTGAGAAAGGGCTTGAAATTTTTTGGTTCATCAAAATACTGAGAATTTTAAGGATTGTATTAGAATTTCCATTCAATTTATGAACTTCTTTTTCTTCCTTCCTTTCTTTTTAAAATTATTTTTTAAACTTTATTCTTCATAGAAGTCTAAATTCAGGATCAAAATTTTATGAACTGAAATTTAAACCTTTTCTGTTTCAGTTTCATAATAGCTTTTAGATACTTTACACTTTGAGATACAAAGCTTAATACTAAAACATCAAAATTAAAAATTTTGAATGATATTTATGAAATGTTTATATTGAAATTTGTCATTTTTTTAAAATTCTGATAAAAAATTTAATGTTGATAAATTGAATCAAAATGCTTTTCATAAAGTGGTACTTTTCGGTTTTGCCGGTGCAAACGATAAAGTCGCCAATAATGGTACAACTGATGCCAAAGGAATTATCTTCACTGGTAACTTTATTCTCGTATATATTTTTTTTCAAAACAAGTCGCAGCATTTCTTACCCAGATGATTGTTTCTTGCAATGGGCTGGCATTTACAATACATAGATAATTTACAAAATGATAAATTAAATTTTATGCCCTAAGACCATCACGGTAATTAAGCCAATTAGGAGCAACACACCGACACCCGAAGGCGAAAAAATTCGATTTAGAAAGGCAAAATCAAGGTTTAAACATTTATCAATTCTAATGAGAATTGCCCCTGCGACAGTAAAGCGCTGCGGTTTGTATATAAGGTTGGGTAAGCTATTCGTACTACGAATTGAAAGTAATTTTTACATCTAAACTTGCTTTATTCCAAAATTAACATTAACTTGAAATTCATGTTAGATAATTACTGAGAGAATTATAGTTTTGTAGGTAGTTTACGTGGATGAGATCAAGTGGGGTCACGTGATACAAACCAGCAAAATCAGGAGTGGTTTGAACCACGGATAAGCATAGTAAATTCTTAAATTTAATGTCTTTTTACAAATGTTTATTGTTTTATTTATGGCCTTTACAAAATTTTTAAACCATACTAAAATGTTTATACCTTCAAAATAAAAATTCTCTTGAACTAACATCAGCCCCCGCCTCAACATTTTTAGTTGTACAGTCAAACAGTCGTAATTAGGCCACACCCAAATCACGGACTCCCCCAAAGCTACAAACTTCTGCGCATTGCGGGTCGCGTTGGGCGCACGCGCATAGAGTTACGCGTGTGTTCGACCTTTACGGCGGCAATATGTGTGTGCACATGCGCGGTTTAATGTTATAAGGGCGGTATAAGCTACGCTTAAAAATTATCTAATTCAGTTAAAAAATGTGTGCAGATTACGTGGTCCTTAATTCGAATTGGATCCGCTGATTATTTTTTGAAGGCTGTTAGAGCAAATTTATAAAAAAGTAAGCTTGAACTTTCGATTATGTCAAATAGGAATTTCGATATATTATTTATATCTTTGTTAAAAGGACTTACAGCGAAAGTATGTTTCGAAACCTAAAATCTGTTTATCAATTTCACGCTGCTTGCGGCGGGGGGGAGGGGAAGGGGGAAACGCCGTGGCGCGTAATGAATTGGAAGCTGATCTGTCCAGTACATCCTTATCTTCAGAGCAGAGTGTTTAGGCATTTGGCTTATAAATTCTTCTAAATGTAGATTTAGTCATGTATCGTCTTTGACATGATGTAAAGCAATTATAGGACTTAAAACAACGGAACTTTGTAACTCAAAAAGGAAAATTATGTCTGTTTAATAGAATTAAAGAGAAAGGATTATAACATGAAACGAAGCAGCAACTTAAACAACTACATTGAAAAAAAATTGCTTAATAAAGTAAAACAAATAAAAATATTAGCTTTTCTTTTTGTAAATTTTGATACCCTTTAGATTCATCAATTGTTATTTAGTTTCATAATTACGGTTGATATGTAATTTTGTTAATTTCTGAGTCATTTACCAGATTTAAACTGCTGATCTATAATCCGACGCCGAAAGAAGTCCGACGAGTCCGGAGCAAGTCACGACTTTGACTGTTATATCGTATGTTTTCGCCAGAAAGACTGCTGGCGAAGATTGCGACGGCGCGCGACACGGAAAAGCACTCATAAAGTTTACTAATAATCGAATAATATAAATTCAGATAACGTGTGAAAGTAAAGGGAAATTAACATTTGTATTGTGAAAAATGTGCATGTATATTGTAGAGGCAATCTTTATTGACTTTAGTTTTTATTTTTAATAGCTGCTTGTTCTAGTATTCAAAGAGAATAAAACCGAGAAGAAATTTTTCTTAGGTTATTATAAGCAAATGTACTTTGACACACTGTGAAATTTTGAATGATAAAAATATTTTGTCATCAGTAAATCTAGCTGTTGAAGTAAATGAAACTACTTGTAATAAGTTGCCAGTAATATCTTCAGGATCAAAAGAAATGAGTATGTCAACTGTTTTAAAACTTTGTGATGTGAAGAAAAATATTGAATGCTCAGAAGAGGTTCAAAAAATAAACACTGAAACTCTGAGAATTAATAAGGAAGATGTATCAAAAAACCATATGGATATAAATGGAGACCTTGATGATGATTTTGAACAAACACTTTTAGATATTACTGAAGATGATTACCTTGCTATTGAAGAATGTGAAGTTTCAACTGAAGATGAAGATAAACTTTTATTTGATGATAGTCTAGAAATGAGTGAGGGTGATGGAAACATTGTAGAGAAAGATGATTGTAGTTCATTGCCTTCTTCTAGAACTTGCAATGTTACTAAAGAAATCTGTGATATTCAAATTAAAAGTATAAAAGAAGAGATAATAGAAAATTCTGAAGATTTTAGTATAAATTCTAGCAGCAATAAAGCCAATAAATGTGATATACTATCATATGATGATAGTACAGAAAGTAGTGAGGATAAAAACATTGCAAAAGATAATGAATGTGGTTTATTGACTTCTTCTAAGACTTGTGATATTTCTGGACTAATCTGTGATATGCAAATGAAAAGTATAAAAGAAGGCATGATAGAGAATTCTGAAGATTTCAGACTAAACTGTAAGATCACTGACACCAAAAAATGCGAAAATATTTACATTGAAGAGAAATGTTCTGAAAGTAAAACCAAAGGCAATAAATGTGATAGACTTTTATATGATGACACTAGTACAGAAAGTAGTGAAAATCAAAAAAATATTTCAGAGGATGATGAATATAATTTGTTGTCATCTTCTAAGACTTCTGATACGTCTGGAGACATATGTGGCATGCAAATGAAAAGTCCAGAAGAACATATAATAAAGGATCCTGAAAATATTAGTGTAAAATATAGCAACAATGAAGCCAATAAATGTGATAATACTTTTATTGAAAAGAAATATTCCGAAAGGGAAATCAAAGCCAATAAATGTAATAATATTTTTAACAAAGAGAAATGTTTTGAAAGCCAAAAGAACCAAACAAGAAAAAGTGTTGCCCAAGTTATAAGTTCAAAAATTGTTTCATGTGATAAAAATGATATAAATTCCAAAAAACTTGAATCTACTAGCCTGAATAATGAAATAAATGCTCCTACTGAAAAAAGAGTAAATGACGAAATTTGTTTAGTCAAAAATAAAATAAAGGGAGATTTTTAAAAAAACAATTTTTTTGGTTTGTAATTCTGATTCTGATGTGAGAATCAAAAAAAAATTATTCTGTGAAAGGAAGTAGGAAAAGAAAAAATATGAAGTGTAAGTAGTAATAAAAAAAGAAATTAAATGATTGAGTAAGAAAGAAAAAGAAGCTGCAAAAACTAAAAAAAAAATATATTGATTGGCCTCGCAAGGATAAATTACCTGTAAATTTAAAATCTGAGTAATTTAAATTATTTAAATTTAAAAGAGCTGCATTTTACAAATCCAAGAAATGAGGCAATTGTCTGTATAGAAAAAAAAGATGATACTTCTGATTCTGGTTGTACAGGTTCTACAGTTGCTAAAGAAAAGAAAGCTGTTCGAAGTGTGGTATTAGAAAAGAAAAAAGAAATTACTGGATTGAGTAAAGAATCTCAAGAACATACTAAAATGAATTATGTTCACAAAACTACAGCTGATTCAATGCTCACAGAAGCACAACCCCGATCATGCGGGCGTTGTAAACCTAAAACATAAAAATAATAAGCATAAAAATTTAGAATTTAATGAAGATGAGAAAAAAGATATAGAAGATCCTGAATGGGAAAGTATAAAAAATTTGACCACTACAGAGGAGCGTTTGAAAGCAGTAAGAGAAGTCCTGGCAATGCAGCACTTGGTTTTTTTGCTACAACCCAAAATAAAAATCAAATTACATTCATACAGAAAGAAACGCATAGGAACAAGCCAAGCAAGAAAAGTTAAACAACATAAAAGAAAGGCAACAACAATTTGTGCCACATTCCTTTCCTTCTTTTTTTTCTTTTGGTAGGGAAACGGTCCCGACCTTATGTATTAGTATTATAGATAAGTGCATAGATTCAGTAATGATGGAAAAAGACTCTAAAACAAATGATATAATGGCTGAAATGAATAGTCATATAAGACAATGGGAATACAGCTCTCAACCTAATCAATATTATCAGTTCTATCATTCATCTTATATTTATGATTTACATGCTGCTTACAATCAAGAAATTGCTGAAATAACTAATAGATATCACATACAAGTAGATCAGTGTGATGCTCAGTACCAATCAAAAATTAATGAGCTAGAAAAAAAACGAAATGAAGTATATCAATTTTTCAATTTTTATAAAGGTTTAGATAACACTGAGAAAAGTGATCCTACTTTTGTAACAGAGAAACAGTTACAAGAATTAGAGGAAATCGAAAATATGTATAAACAATTTGACAAATATTACTCCTAAATATCAAGATTTCAGTTATTTCTGTATCTGCATTTTCATATTTTTCTATAAAGTAGAGTGCATTAATGAAATTTTTCTACGAGCATATTCCTTACTTATATGCAATTAATTTTTTTTTTTTAATTTTGTGTAAACAAACATTGTTGATTTACTTTTTATTTACTTCATCGAAATCTGTTAGGTTATTACTATTTATATGTTGTTAAATTACTAAAATGTAAATTTGTGAAAATTTGATTCTCATTCTCATTTAATTAATTTGACATTTAAAATTAAATATATTGCAATAATAATTAAATATAGTTACATTTGGTTATTTTTTAAAAAAGAAAACAAAAAAAGTGTATAAAATGCTAAAATGTTCACCTAACAACATTTCTTAATGCATTAAAATCATTTTCTTGTTTCTGAATAAGTCTTTTACTAAAATATTTCAATATGCTAAAATATTGATTTTATTATTAAAGTCTGAGATTATACTAACTACTTGAATTATTCTCCCCCCCTTTTTTTTTTTTTTTTCTATCTTTTAAATTATTGACTGGATTTTTGCTTATATTAAAAAAAATTTAATGCAGTTTTTCAAAAATAATCTAAAACACTGCAGCTATGATTCAGTATTATGATATTTTAAAAATCGTCATTCCAAATTATTTAAATGTTTTTGTAACAATTTTTAATTTTGAAATTTTCATATAAAAATTTATCTGAAAAAAGGGAGGTATTTTTAATATCAGTTTGACTTGATATTATGTGTGCAATTGAAAATTTATATTTTTCTGTATTGTTTTAATGTTTGATCATGTATCTGAATTATTAGAAAAAATTATTAAGTACTTATTGGTAACAGACAGTAATTCCTGCTATTGATGCAAAGAATAAATATCTTTGAATCTTTCATGAAAACTGAAATATCATGTAACATCATATTGTACTTATTGGTAATAGACAGACAACAATTGCTGTTGTTGCTACAAAGAATAAATATGTAATTATCATTGAATCTTTAATAAGAACTGAAATATTGTTCATGTAACATTATATTCCAACAATTAATAAATAAGTAAACAAAACTGTAACTCTTGCAGCATAAAAGAACACAATTTTATTAATTTCAATGAAAGCATGAAAATATTACTGTTAAAAAAAAAATTAAAAAAGTAAACAAATAAACCAAATATCATTTTTTTTCCTGTTTCTTTTTCTTTCACTTTTTTTTTTATAAATTTTTGAACTAGTACCAGTGAAAAGTATTTTGCTATTATTTTCATAATGGATTTTGGTAAGTTTTTTTCATTTCTTGCCATTGTTTTCAAATAAATGCTACTAAATGAAAAATTTAAATTTATGATGGTACAGAATTTCCGGTGGCATCTTTTCTTTCCTTTTTCATATGCTTATTCTATGCTCTATCCTACAATGCCATTTGATAGATTCTGCTTTGCATATGAACTCTAGTTTGACGTAGGTTTAATTAAATTATACTTAAGATTCATTTAGTGAGAAACAACATGCGTTTTCTAATTCTCAATCTCTGTAAGTAACCCCTTTCTTGCGTCAGAGTGTCTTATATTGCCTCTATGTTTTCCTTGATACAGTGCAGTAGGCATTTGGCTCTTCTGTTTTTTACAAGAAAGATCTGTTTTTAACTGTTTAATTAAATTTCTTTTTCCACAGATTTTTTCCACCAACAAAACCTCTGAGTGGTAATTTTTTTTCCAATCAATTGTGCTTTCTTTGTTTTCTTTTTTGTTCTTCCTTTTTGCAAAGATATTCTGAATGATTAGACCATACTGAATTTTTTTTTTTTTTTTTTTTTTCTTTCATCTTCAAAAATGTTTGTAGCATAAATCTCTTGTAAGTTGCTCTTCCAGTAAACTATTTCATCAGACATAACGAATGTCTTTTTCAAAACTGAATCAATGATAATTCCTTTGCCACAGATAATAATAACTATACTTTGACCTACTTTGGCAGTCTCAGAAAGGCACTAAAGGTATATATGAATATCATCCCGCTTGCGGCATCAGACACTTGGTTGAATTAATTAAATCAAAAAATTTTATATGATTTTTTTTTTCTGTTAATGTATTACCTGGTTGATTTCTCAATAACCATTTTATTATCTTGGCCCATTTTGTTCTTTATACAAGGTGTGGCTATTAATTTCCAGGACTGCTGTAATAACACCAGAACAGATGATGACAAAAATGTAAACCTTTTTAATATGTGTGAAGTAAATCCCCATCTGCCCGTAATACCCTTTCTGTGCTCCGCTATAATAAGTTGTGGAACAACTTTTTTTAAAGTCCTCTTCTTTTTTCGGAAGGCCTTCAATGTCGATTGCCACGTTCTTTTCTTTCTTTGGATGTGTCTTCACATCCACAAAGCGTGTTCCTTTGATCACAGTTGTGAGTTTGGGGAAATGTTTTGGTCCATACCTCTCTGATTCGTCCGTCCCCGCGCAGACTTCTTTTTTTTTTGTTTTCCCAAACTCCCTAACTGCCCAATCAAGAACACGCTTTTGTGGATGTTTGAAGACATCAGAAGAACGTTGAACGACATTGAGAGCCTTCCGAAAGAGACTTTTTTACAAGTTGGTTTCCACACTTATACAGCTGGAGCACAAAAGTGTGTTACGGCCGATTGGGGATACTTTTTGGGGAAAAAAAAAAAAAAAACATATTAAAGGTTAAGTTTTTTCTCATCATCCTGTTCTGGTGTTTATTAGAGCCAGTCCTGAAAATTAATAGCCCACACTTTTTTTTTTTTTTGTATTTTATTATAATACATTAAACTTTTTTTTAAATTTGTTAAGGTTTATATACACTATGGTGTCCAGAAGACTTCTTCCTTGCCTTTACATATTCTATTCTGATTCTATTTCTGTCGCTTGAGGTGTCTCCTGTTAAAATTAGGATGGAATTATTAAACCCCATATGCTAATTATACTTTAAAACACCCTTTTTCCTTTTCCTTGCCAATCTATTCATTTAGGAGGATTTGGATGCTAAATGTCCTGAAATAAGTGGAGAAGTGTTTATCCCAGAATAGCTTTGTGAATTTATAATTTTTGAGGTAATACAGGACATCTGCTGTTGATGCAACAAGAAGCATACAAGTAGGAAAGGTATCTTCCATAATTAATGAAAAGCTGCTGAAAGAGGAACTCTTTTCATGGAGACTTTTGGAAAAACATGGTAGCTCAAGTGCCCTAGGGTGAACCATCCAACTTATCCAGAGAGACCCAAGAAGACTTAATGAAAATACCTTGTGGCTTTTTACCCACTTAAGGGAGAAAAAATTTGTTGAAAAGAATAGTACTTAAAATTTGCTTGAGAGAGGTGATATTTTGGGTGACAGAATTTTTCTTGATTTGGCCCTTACTCATGCTGTCTGTAATGAAGGTGAAGTTTCTGTAGCATGAGTTGCCTGCCCAGCAGTCCACTTTTCTTATGAATGTGTAGCATGTTAAGAAAATTAACATAACTTTGTTTTCATTAGTTATCTTCTGCAGGTTATCAAGTCTGTTTATTACGCTTTTTTTTTTTTTTTTTCCTTTTATTAGTAAAATAAATCCAAACTGTGTGCTGTATTTTAGGTGTTTTTCCTTTTTCTCTGAGTGGTGTATAAAGCTTTAGGTAATCTATCATTTTGCCCCAAGCTGATAGTAGATATATTGGCCTATACACATTTTGGTTTTTTGCTTTTTATATCCTTTTCTTGTGAGTAGAACCTGTTGCACCATTTTTTCCCTCAATAACTGAGAAGTATCCCCTGATCCTAAACATTTTTATTGAATAGTTTCTTGTTGATATTTGCTTGCCCCTCAAATCGTCCTGTCTTTAAAACAAAACTCTTCTGTGAAATCTATATTTAGTCCATTTAGCCCTGAGATTTTTACCTATTTGTGACTGACATTGCCTTCTTAATTTTCATGCTGGTGAAGGGTAAATCATTGGGCTTGTTTGAGGGAGATTTTTGAATTTTCTCTTATTTAAAAAACTACTGAGCCTTTTGGTGGTCCCTGTTTTAAAAGTTCTTGTGAAAAGTTTGGAAGTGGTGATCCCCTTTTAATTGTGTCTTTCCACCAGGTTTTGTGATGGGACTCGTCTCTTTTTTGTTTTTCTCTTAATCGCCCCCTTAGCTGGTGTAGACAAGGCCTTTTTTTTTTTTGTTTTTTTTTTTTCCATTCCGTCATAATAGGACCCAAAAAGAGAAGTTATGGAGAGGCTTTTTCCCTCAGATGTTCGAAAATTGCCCCTT